TAGTGTCTATTAAGAATGTTTATGCAGCTGGCCCCAGAGAAGACACCTTGATCAACAGGAGTTTAGAGAATAGGGATGAGAAAGTTAAATGAAGTTAGAACCTATAAATAACTTTATAGCCAAGTATATATAAAGTCTTAGTTCCACTCTGGACTCCTAAATTAATTTTTACTCACTGAGATTTTTACACTATATTATTTCTGCTAGCTCTTTGTAAATTTGAAACTAGATAGAGGCTAAATTTATTAAAAGAAGGCAGATCACAGCTTTAAAAGTCTTGACTGTAACACAAAGAATGCAGAGATTCAAGCTTTAACTTACGTAAATAAACTTGCTAACTTAACTGTTTTCAGGGAATTCACCTTGTGAATTCCCTGGCCCTAAATCACTCCTCCTTAGCTGCATGGATGATATTTACATTTCAAAGGACTTTAAATTTAGAGCTGATTTAATCTTTACTCTTTCCTAACTAATGTTAGATTTTACATTTCAAGGACTCCAATTCAGTTGACTCAGCCTGCAATCCATCACTAAACCTCCATATCAAAAATGTTTATACTTTAGAAATAAAGCATTAGTCAAATTGTATCAGGAATAAGAGATTTGTGTTAGGTTAGAAATCAGTGTTAAGAAAGTTTGCAGTTTAACCACCCCTTGTAAATTTCCCTTCCTTTCCCTGCATTTGCTTTCATGTGAAACCATTTGCTGGTGTTTTACTCTGCCTGTTAAATACCCCATTGTTCTGCCTGCAGAGCAGAACAGCCCAGCAGCCTGTTTGGATGTCATGTGTTTTCTCCATTCCCTGGAATGAAATTATTCCTTCAATAAAATTTTTGTTTTAATTTCTATTGGAGCATTGGTCCAGTGCTTCCACTAGGACAATACCCAGAGTGGATCATTCTAATACCCCTATACTCTATAAGACAAAATTATTTTCATTAATACTCATGCAAAAATCAGTAATAATCACTATTTTCTTAATTTGTTCTCTAGTTTTAAGCAGTAAGCAATATACAATGAAGAATAAATTTTAACTTTAAAGATATCTAAAATTGGTAAAACTATTTTATAAATGAACCAAAGTTTTTATTTCCCAAACAAAACATTACACCTCACAGTTCACCATCTGTTTTACTGTTTTAAGTTCTAAACACATATAAAAACTCCAAGTGGCCACAAAGAATGACAGAATTAAAGTAGCTCAAGTTACGTTTCTTTGTGTTTACAATTGCGATGCTATCGGTGTTTACTTTGAATCTCTGTTTAAATGCAGGAACATGTAGTATGTACCAAAACAAATACTAATGATTCTGACCCATGGCAAACTTATTCGAACAATAAACACATATCGCCGAGTCTGTGAGTTTTTGGGGGCCCACTGTACAGCAGGGAGTTCTCTACATTAACATTAAGGTAAAAAACAATAGCTATATTAAAGGATAAGTTCTAAAAAATGTGCTAGTTTCAAGTTTACATAGATCTTAATAAAACTCAATAGCAACTAGAGCAGTTGTTTACAACTTAAATCAACTATTTTTTAGGGAAGGAGATTTATTTTTATCATTGACATTATTTAGAACTGTGATCATGAAAAACAGACCAACTTTTAGTCAGTTCTTTGGGGCAGTTCTCCTTTGTCCGAATAGGGTCACTCTGAGTCAGAATGGACTTCTTGGCAACGGGTTTTTTTTTAAATGTATTGAAACTCTCTACAGACAATGGTTCCTTTATAGTCAGCTTCCAGGGAAGAGAGCTCTCATCTCCCCACCCCTGGTCCACACTTGATTCCACCTAAGCTCCTGGAGGGCAGGGAAAGGATGTGCAGTTCACACTGCCTCACACACTGCCTTGGGCACAAAAACTCACGGTTCTGAGTGCGACCGAGGACCCCGGGTCTCAGGTTCGGGGGTCTGTGACATCCTCCCTTTCCCATACGGGAGGTCAGATTTTCTTCATATACTTCAAACAAGGCAGCAATTCACAGCACATTGAACGTAGAAACAGGTAAAAGAATTCACCTGTCTTCTATTAAGGCAGACATAGAAGAGATTTGCAAAATCTCTTTTTAAAATGATGTCATTCTTCTCATATTTTATGAAGATGATTATTTTCATAAATTATGTTATATATGTTTATGTGTGATGGGTTTATGGTTGCTATTTTAGAAAGCATTAACAAATATATTTTTTAATTTCTCAGTTTTAATTTCTAATATGGTAATATGGTAAACATATATAACCCACATAAAAAAGGCTCTTTGGGGTCCTCAATAATTTTTAAGAATGTAAAGTGTCCTGAGACCAGAAAGCTTGAAAGCCTCTGCACGAATGCACTGCGTTGTATATGGCAGATGCCCATGTACACTTATTAAATGAATAAGGGACTGACCCAGTGGATTTCAGCTGCTTCTAGGATTTGGAAGCTGTGGCTGGCATTGGAGGTGGGGAGGGCACCAGTAGACAGTGGTGGCTGGTACCTGGAAGGTGAGGGCCGCCGTCTAGGAGCAGCAGCTTCCATTTGAAGCAGTGTTGGCTCTGATGGCAATGCCAGGGGGTGGTCCTGGGTCTCAGGCACCGAGGTCTGAGGACGTGGGTAGACCGGGGGTCTTGAGGAAGCTGAGCACATCCCTTTAGAGTGAAGGGCAGGAACGACTGACCAACTCTGTCTCCTGAGGGAGGAATTGAGCAGATCGTTTTTCTAGAAACCTCTGAGTATCATATCACAGGGCATGACCACAATGGAGAGACCGTGCCTTCAGGCAGAGAGACTGAGGCTCCAGGTGCCTCTCCCTGTTCTGCCCTGGTCAGCTATGGGACCTTGGACAAGACACTTCACTGCTGGCTGACTCGACCATGTGGTGAAGATGGAATAATGTGTGTGGTGTCTGATGCATGGTGGACACACAACAGACCCGTGAGTCCGTTAGTAGAATACGATTAATGATAATAAAAAGAAGTAGGCTGGGAGGAGGGAGCTTAAGGAAGAAGGGTCCTGGAGGGAATTCTTCCTGGCCCTTGACTAGTGACAGTTGCAACTTGGCATAGATCTCAGCACTGTTGACATCTTGGGCCCGATAATCGTGTTATGGGGGGCTGTCCTGTGCATTGCAGGATGTTTAGCATCATCCCTGGCCTCTACCCACTGACAGCCAGCAGCCGCCATCACCCACTCTTGTGACAACAAAAATGTCTCCAGACATAGCCAAATGCCCCTTGGGGGACAATATCAGCCCTGGTTGAGAGCACTCATCTGACGGGGCCCCACTGTGGGTGCCTGCTTCCCTGCAGTTACCTCAGGAAGGCCCCTGCCAGCCACCTGCACACGGGCCCGCTCCTTCAGGAAGAATTCTGAGAGTCCGCAGACTCTGAACACTAATCGGGGCTGCTTCCTTCCACTTTGGACAAACCAGGACCCTGGGAGAGCAGCAAGCCAGTAAGCACAATGAGATTTGTTGAGGAAAATACGGACAATGTCCAGGAGCCCGGGAAGGGTCCCTCCCTTCAACCTCTGCCTCAGCACCCATGGCTTCAAACCCCGGAGTCCTGGTTGCAAACAGTCCCGGCCAATCAGGAGCAGGATGGATAAATTCACGCAATGAATGTGACAGCGATGAGCGAGAACGAGCTGTGCAGATAGGAGCTGTACGGATGACTGTCACCAAGGGAAAGAAGCCAGCAGAGCCCAGTGTAGATTTCCATTAAGGAAGAGTTCTAAGCAAGGCAAAATCAGCTCCGGGTAAGACTCAAGAGGTACATGGAGGAAGCTTCTGGGATGCTGGTCTAGTTCATGAAAACTCATTGAGTGCTTATGATGCAGGCACTTTTCTGTATATGTATATTAGACTTTGATAAAAAAGTAAACAAACAAATGAACAAAATAAACAACAAAAACAACATCTGGAGCCAAAGGGAAGGTCAGGCCCTTCAGCAAATCGCTGCGAACCCAGGGAATAAAGTCATCAGCGGTTTTGCTCATGTGGCTGTCAATTATGACGAAAGGTTCATCGCTGGAAACGACTTGGTAAGACGACGCACGCAAAATAATTAGCGCGGTGCTTGACACGTAAAATGCCCAGGAAGTGACAACAAAGCATACTACTAACAAGTTATTAACTCACCCAGGATACAAAATAATGATCAAATACAAAGGAACAATCTTTTTTCTTAGAGGGGGAAAGAGAAGGTCCTGGAATTTTCAAGTATATCCTTTGTGAGTAAATTCCTGAATCACAAAGTTTTTGGAGCTCCCATCAGCCGTAGTCTTTGAGGAAAGAAAAATCTAAGTCTCTACCTTGGCACGACTAGCTCCTAACCAGTGACCAGCACAAAACCATCCCAAACGCCTGTCCAATCGGGCTAAGTTGTTCAGTTGACTTCCTACTGGTCATTTTTTGATCCAACGCACTGTTGGGCTATGAACCAGAAATCCACCTGTCTGATCAAGCATTTGGAGCTGTGTTTGGCTATCAATCTAGCATATGAATTTACAGACAGAACAGGTGTGACTGCTGTTGGATTTCTCAGTCTCAGAGAGAAACTTTGGCAGAAAAATGAAGTCTAGAGAACTGCAATGATATGTCTACTCCAGACCCGACTGGGACCAGGACTCTTAGAAACTCCTCTCTTCTGAGGGAGCCAGGCAATTACACAAACCCCAACAAGACAGAGCACTGCATTGCAAGCTGTGCTCCCCAATTGCAAATCAGACACCAAGTGAACCCTCCGGAAGATTGCAAACTCTTTCAGATTATTCTCCTCCGAAGTCTTAGGACGACTGTTTCCAGCAACTTCGCTGCTGGCTGCAGGCACTTTTAGAAGGCTATTACTTCCAGAGTGGTTCTCTAAAAGTGCAAACTGCTACATGTCGCTGTGAACCTGTGACGCGCTCAAACTGCCACCCAGTTTTCTCTGAAGCCCACAGCCAAGGACACGTGGACTCACTGTGCCACACATTTAAAAAGAAAATCCATGCTCGTCTTTGGAGACAAGACAAGCTCTTACCTGGTCCCAGGCTTTGTCCATGGGCACTTGATTGGATCCAGATGCACAAAACGAAGAAAACAGAGACACGCAGAGGACTTTCCATTTCTCCTAGCGCAGCCGGGTCCAAGGGCTTCTTGCTAATTTCCAAAGCTGAAGAGACCAGATCGCCTATTGAGGCTTTGTTAGGGGTGGCTGCCCACTAATAATTAACCTTTAAACATGCTATCCAGGGTCCTGGCATTTTCCTTGCTGCCCCCAACCCCAAATCTAACTCTATCAAAGAAAAAAAAGATTGATTCATAAAAGTGTTTCTATCCCGATACATTTTGAAAATAAAACACATGGCCACGCGTTCTTACCTTTCAGACCAAGGTCGCAGTTCCAAATTGATCAATTTAAAGTTAACGCGCTGTGTTTGGAAAACCTGTCAAAGGTCAGAGGTAGGTGGCTCCCAGGTGTTACCTAAGCCGCCCTCTGAGAGAGCTTCGGGAGGGATGAAGGCTGTCGAAATGGTGTTTCAAACGCCAGGCTGAGCCCGGGGAGAGAGACTGTGTTCCTCTGTGCTGAGCCCCAGAAGCTCCATTTCCTGCTGAGTTCACTGAAATCACTGATGCCTGTGGTCAGAGTGTGGTGAGGCAGCAGAGTCTGGCTCCACTATGAAAGAGGCGGAAAACCTCTAACCTCAGGGTAAGAAGGAGCTGACGGAGAAGCAGAGGCAGAGGCGGAACTTGATGGCCTCCCTGTGGGCCCCACTGACGGATGATCCTAGAGTAAACACACCTTGTCCTCTGTGCTCGTTCACACTCCAACCGCGTAGAGGACTTTGGCTGTCTGAGAAGGAAGGCCACTCAGTGAAACCATGTAGGGGCAGCGCTGGCGCTTGTCATATTCCCTGCGTCTCTAGTTTTATTTAAAGTCAACATTTTTCTCTTTCTTTTTTTTTTTTTTTTGTATGAGTACTATGTGCCAGGCACAGTTCTAGGCCCTAGGGCTATAGAAGTGAACAAAGCAAAGATTCCAGTCCTTCTGGAACATTTCCACCAGTCAGGGCAGGGGATGTCAGATAATATGGTGCAGTGGTTAAGAGCTCAGCTGCTAACCAATAGGTCAGCAGTTCGAATCCACCAGCTGCTACCTGGAAACCCTATAGGGCAGTTCTACTCTGTCCTACAGGGTTGCTATGAGTCAGCATCAACTCAATGGCAGTGGGCTTGGATTTTTTGGTTATAATATATAAGAGAACCATGTAGATTTATAGAATGCAATGAGGGCTATGGGAAAAGGAAAAGTACTGCAGAGTTTGGAAGTATGTGGGAGGTTGGGAGTGATTTTAAATAAAGTGGTCGGGGTGAGCAAAGCTTGAGGGAGATGAGGGAGTTAGCCTCAGGCAGACGGGACAGCCAGTGCAAAGGTCCTGAGGTAGGAGCATGCCTGGAGAGTTCCAGGAACAGCAAGTACGTCAGTGAACAGAAATCCAGCAGTGGGAAGTGAGGTCAGAGAGGCATGGACGGAGGTCACATATTGTGTAGGCCAGTATGAAACCTTTGGTTTCTGGGCTGGGAGACATGAAGAGCCATTCTGAACAGAAGAGTGACATAATTTGAATTAAAGTTTTAAAAGATCACTCTGGTTTGCAAGGTTGGGAACAGAGTACAAGGGAGCAAAGATGAAGGTGGGAGATCTGTTAGGAGGTTCTTGAAGTGATCAGTGATAGGTGATGGTGGTTTGGCACAGCTTGTAACTGGGGACATGGGGAGCGGATGGATGATGGAGATATTCTGAAGGTAGAGCCTACAGGATTTCCTGACGGCTGGAACGTGGGATGTGAGAAGAGGAGAAGTTGAGGATGACGGTAGCCTTTTTGGTTAAACAGGTGGAGGAATGGTGTCGCTGTCAGCCGAGACAGGGAAGGCTATGGGTGGAGCACACGTGCTAGGTGGATGAGGAATTCAGTGTTGCCCGTGTGGAGTTAGAAACGTCTCTTAGACATCAAGTGGAAATGTTGAGTAGGCTGTTGGATGACTTGGTGATCATTGCGTGGGTGAACATGGTGGGAAGGACCTCCCAAAGCCACCAGCAGGTTGGACAGGCTGGACCCTGGCCCAAGGCCTAACTCTCTGCTGTCCTGTGGCTGCTCCCCTTCCAGAGGGCTGTGGCTTGGGACCACCTGGTCAGATGTGCCAGCTCAGGAGGGGCTTATGCCCTGATCTCTGGCGGGCTCCTTCCTACCTGCAGAGTGCAGAAGGACATGAAGGCCAACTTTCTTTTTTCCCCTTGGGGGCCACCTGTGTGGATGGACAACAGAGGACCAGGTGCTCACCCCAACCCCACGCCTGGGTTTTGTGTCTGCTCCGGAACTGTGGTATAACTCAAGCACTGGTGTGTGAGTGTGTGAATGTATGTGTGTGTGTGAATGCGTGTGCATGTGTGCCTGAGTGTGTGCATGTGTGCGTGTGTGCATGTGTATGTGTGTGCATGTGTATGTGTGTGTGGGTGAGCATGAATGTGTGTGTGATTAGGTGTGTGAATGTGTGTGAGTATGTGTTTGTAAGTGTGTGAGTGTGTGTATGGTGTGAGTGTGAGTGTGTGTGTGGAAATCCAGGAAGACACGAAAACAGTGATTTGGAGTCAGGAATTCAGATGTACGGAAAAGACATTTTCTTGCACTTAAGAATTTGTGGATTGAGTGTCACCTACAAAGACAGGTATGTAGGAAGGATTGGAGATTCGTATGTGAAGTGCTCAGCTAAGCGAATGGTTCATCACAGAGGTTCAATAAATTACATTGACTTATTTTGGAGACAAAATGCTTAGTGGTCAAGAGCTCGGGCTTTGGAATCAGGCATATCTAGGTTCAAATCCCTGGTCTATCACTTATTAGCTAGGTGACCTTGTGCAAGACATTCACTTTCCGAACTTTGCTTTATTTCATCTGTAAAATGGGGCTAATGATACCTGCCTGATCGGGTTAAATGAGATGATGCACAAAAAATCCTCAGTAATTCTGGTGAATAGGAAATAGTAAATGGTAGCTGCTATTATTATTGTTTTTGCTTGTTTTCAGTCATCTAAGTGATCAAGAGGGTGCTGAGGAAGTAGATAATAAATAGCAAGACCACAGTGATAAAATTCTAGTGAAAAACGAGAGGGTAGGAATACAGAAGGGTCTGAGCTAGTGGTTTTAAAGCCCAGTAGAAGATCAGAGTCATCTGGGGCCTCTGGAAAAGGGTAAGCTATTGGCCCGTCACCAGGTCAACTGAATCAAAACTTCCAGGGCTGGAGCCTGGAGAAGCTCCCTGTCTAACCGGTTCTCCAGGTTATCCTTGGCCACATGAGGGTTGCAAACCGTTGCCTCAGACTGGTGCTTGAGTGATCTGTTGGGATGCAAGAAGAAAATAATAGACTTTTCAGATTTATCTTTATATCGCCTTAGAAAATTTTATGTTTGTGTATGTAGAACGTTTATAATACATGTTCTTGTTGTTAGGTGCTGTTGAGTCAGCTACCACTCATAGCCACCCCATGCAGAACAGAATGAACTGCTGCCTGGTCCTGCGCCATCCTCACCATCGTTGCTCTGTTTGAGCCCATTGTTGCAGCCACGGTGTCAGTCCATCTCCTTGAGGGTCTTCTTCTTTTTCACTGACCCTTTATTTTACCAAGCATGATGTCCTTCTCCAGGGACTGGCCTCTCCTGATAACATGTCCAAAGTATGTGAGATGAAGTCTCACCATCCTCGCTTCTAAGGAGCGTTCTGTCTGTACTTCTTCGAAGACAGATTTGTTCTATGCCAAGAAATTTGGAAGACAGCTACCTGGCCAACAGACTAGAAGAGATCCATATACGTGCTCATTCCAAAGAAAGGTGATCCAACAAAATGCAGAAATTATCGAACAATATCATTAATATCACATGTAAGTAAAATTCTGCTAAAGATAATTAAAAAATGATTGCAACAGTACCTTGACAGGGAACTGCCAGAAATTCAAGCCGTATTCAGAAGAGGACGTGGAACGAGGGATATCATTGGTGGTGCCTGATGGATCTTGGCTGAAAGCAGAGAATACCAGAAAAATGTTTACTTGTGTTTTATTGACTATGCAAAGGCATTTCACTGTGTGGATCATAACAAATTATGGATATCATTGAGAAGAAGGGGTATTCCAGAACACTTAATTGTGCTCATGAAGAACCTGTACATAGACCAAGAGGCAGTCGTTCAAACAGAACAAGGGGAAGTTGCGTGGTTTAAAATCAGAAAAGGTGTGCGTCAGGGTTGTGTCCTTCCACCGTACTTATTCAATCTGTATGCTGAGCAAATAATCCGAGAAGTTGGACTACAATATATGAGTACAATATAATATACAATTACAATATAATATAAGGGTACAGTATAATATACAAGCACTATATAATAAATGAGCACTGTATACTATATGAGCACTATATAACATGTGAGTACTATATACTACATAAGCACTATATACTATCAGAGTACTATCTACTGTATGAGTACTATGTAATTTGTGGAGTCCCTGGGCGGTGCACACCTGGACCAATCAGCAACATCACGATAAACAGAGAAAAGATTGAAGTTGTCAAGGATTTCATTTTACTCGGATCCACAATCAACACCCATGGAAGCAGCAGTCAAGGAATCAAAAGACGCTTTGCATTGGGCAAATCTGCTGTAAAAGACCTCTTTAAAGTGTTGAAAAGCAAAGATGTCACCTTGAAGACTAAGGTGCACCTGACCCAAGTCATAGTGTTTTCAATCACCTTATATGCGTGTGAAAGCTGGATGATGAGTAAGGAAGACCAAAGAAGAATTGATGCTTTTGAATTATGGTGCTGGCCAAGAATATTGAATATACTGAGGACTGCCAGAAGAACCAACAGATATGTCTGGGAAGAAGGACAGCCAGAACGCTCCTTAGAAGTGAGGATTTCCAGGCTTCCTCTCACGTACTTTGGGCATGTTATCAGGAGGGTTCAGTCCCTGGAGAAGGGCCTCGTGCTTGGTAAAGTAGACGGTCAGTGAAAAAGAAGAAGACTCGCAACGAGATGGATTGACACAGTGGCTGCAACAATGGACTCAAACAACGATTGTGAGGATGGTGCGTGACCGACAGTGTTTTATTCTGCTGTATACAAGGTCGTTATGAGTCGGACCCGCCTCAACGGCACCTAACAACAACAACTGGGTGGTGAAAATGTGTACCGTATTTGGCTGCTAACTGAAAGGCTGGAGGCTTGAGTCCACTCAGAAATGCCTTGGAAGAAAGGTCTGGTGATCTACTTCTGAGAAATCAGCCACTGAAAACCCTAAGGAGCACAGTTCTACCCTGACACACATAGGGTTGCCATGAGTCTGAATCGACTTGATGGGAACTGGTTTTATATAATTTGATTATGGTACTATAAAATCTATTGTTCTTGTTGTGTGCCGTCAAGTCGATTCCTACTCATAGCGACCCTATAGCACAGAGGAGAACAGCCCCATAGGGTTTCCTAGGCTGTCATCTTTACCTAGCAGATCACCAGGTTTTTTTCTCCCATGGAGAGGCTGGTGGGTTTGAACTGCT